ATAAGAAGAGAAAACAGGAAGATAAATTAGATTCTGTCGCTCTTTTCACACCAAAAAACAAATATTAACGGAAAAACTCTAAATTATTTTTCTTGGTTTTAAAGTTGGGCAGCGATCAGGAGAAGAAARAACTAAAAATATTAATAACAAACAGAGAAACCATAAAACTATTTCAYCTTTGGGGCCGAAGAAAATATTAATGAGGGCCAAACTTGGCCCGCGGGCCTTACGTTTGACACATGTTTTAAGGTAATTTTAATTGTTTGATTTATTTTGTAGTTTCCCCTCATTTCTTCAAATTTCGGACCGATCCAACTGCTTCCTAAGTTTTCCTCGGTGCAGGTTTTGATATTTTGCTAACACTGTTGATTTTAACAGATAATACTAATATTTCAAGCAATGATCTAAACAACTCTCAGCTACTACCACTCGTACTTTTAGCTCAGTATTTGTAACGCTGAGTTTCAGCCACACCTGCGGCGGTTGATGCCGATCATCCGTGGCGGCCATCTTGAATTGGGTCGACCTGAAAGCTGGATCAGATGAAGGCGTAACGTCGACTTCATGATTCAACCTTTGYTTTTTGGTGTAAAATCGAAACATGGTTCCTGCTGCGTTTAAATAAATAAATTAAATATAAAAATCTGCTGCTGTGCTTCAGCTTTCTTCACTCAGATCCAAACTGAGTCAGATGTTCGTCATTACAGCTCTGATGTTTCTGTGATAAAAGCATCAAACATGTGGAGACGAGGATGAAGATTTAAATTAGCTGGTAATTATTTCAATGACATCGTAAACAAAGTGATTTTATTTTGAAAGGTGAATTAATAGGTTTTTTTGTTTCAGTTTGAGAAATTGTGGCTTATTGTTACAAAAATGAAGAAATGTGTCGTTATAAAAACACAAAGCCTGAGTGGCTGTTTCTATTTAAACACCCCCCCCCCCCTTCTTCGTCCTCCTCCTCTTCCTCCTCCTCCTCTTCCTCGCTGCCAGAGGCCTTGTTAAATTGGCACAGATTCTACTGGAGTCCTGAACAGAATCGCTGCCTAAGTGTTTCCACTCTGCTCCTGATCCTGCCCTCAGAGCAGTTGGGGGGGGGGTTCGAGGGTCCCCGCCACACATCGACTCATCCTCAGGTTCTGGTGGGACGACGTCTCGGGATCAGAAGAAGCCCGAAGCTTAATTAAACCTGAGCGGGTCGTATGATGTGAGTCAGCCTGGGGGTGTTACTGTGCAAAAGTCTTGCTCCTCACAAACAGACAGCTCTTTGTTTGTGTGTGCGTGCGTGCGTGCGTGCGTGCGTGCGTGCGTGCGTGCGTGCGTGCGTGCGTGC